AAAAAAACAGGTTTAAAACAAAAGCAATAATGGGTACCCTAGAAAAACGTCAACACATTGTACTAGCAAACTTGTGGTTCTATAGGAATAGAACAAGGCCATATAAATGATTCTGTGTGGACTGCTTATTTTAGGCAGTTTATTATCTGAATGAGTAATTCTTCTGCATTTAATTAGAAAATTGTTAAGAATAACAGATCCAGGATTTGAAAGATTTTAGCTGGTATAGGTATACCTGCGTGTAAAACGTCTCAACTACAACGACGTGAAACTCAAAACAAGTTCTTCAGCCATCAAGATTTGTAAATTCAGTATTGTATTGATGTAAAATGCAAATTTGTTATTATAGCACTTTTTGTGGCTCTGCAGGCTATAAGATGATCTTTATACATCCCATACGTTAAGAAGGCTTTGAATTAGGAAAAAAATAGGTGCAATTAATTACACGTATTATACACGCCTATAAATTATGCGAGCAATGTTACCTTCTTTTTCAGCTCCTCCACCATTCCTCCATAGCTTTTATGCAAATAAATCTCGTAGTCGAAGTTTGCTTCTTTCGACAATTCCTTGATCAAATCCATACAGAAGCCTTGAAGAAGATTTTTAGGAACTCTGCCGGTTGGTAAAGGCATTGACTCATTTACTTTCTCGACAAACGGCGGCTCCTAGTAAGAACCAATGAACATCAGTGAATAGGCATTTTAAAGGTGGCTGAAAACAATTTCCAGCCCTTTCCAAGACGTAGATTTTGATGAGTCTTTACTACCACTCTTTATCAGTTGATGCTACAATCATGGAACCAAAAAACTGCCCAATCATTGGAGAACACGTTGTAATCATTTTCGTGACTCAATAGGTCACTATAACAACAATATGATCTACTAAAAACACCCTTAATTTTAGCTTCAAGAAATTGTATTTCGAAAACGGCACGGCTAAACCTTTTTTACAATGGAATTTTGATAAGAATGATACGATTTTGTACGAAGGGTTCAGAGTCGTGTTAAATTTTAGGTGGCTCCATCAGTATTAACCTGACTATCTTTGGAATTATAAATTTCAAATCTCTCTCACCAAAACAGTTGTAACTTTCAACACTGGGATGGCCTCTGGCTCCTGGGGCTGAAGATTCCCCGGATTGTGGCACTTGACAAATTCAGCGAAGTCCCCCACCCACCGGGGCGTTTTGTCCTGTAATGACACGCGATGTTCTTTCATTCCAGGTTCCGGCTGCCACGAGCCGATCTGAGAAAGGAAGAAATAATTGCTACGCAAGGACAGGTATGAAGGTACAAAAAATATTATTTCAGAGCTTGACATTGCCTGCTTGGGAAATGACAGCTTCGTAATTTACTCTAATTTGGTAACCTTGATAATTTAGTTCAGTCCTTGTCAGTTGTGTTGGAGCTAAGTTCCAGCTTGGTCGATCGAGAGTTCCGTTATGAGCCTAGTACCGCTGAATTAAACAAGTACTGCAAGCACCCAGGTTAGTTACCGTGAAAAGCTTTGGACTTACCACCTCGTACAAACCTTTTCTACGTTGTGTTCAAGAACGTTTAAAATGTCCAGACCGCTGTGAACTCGTCGCTCGCCCGTAACCAAGTTGAATTGCACCTCGCCGGTAAGACCTTGAAACTTCACCTTCAAATACAATTGAGAAAAAAAGTAGCGCTTTGGTATCGGTGCAATGAGTCATGAAAGATACGTCTATAACAATTAATTGATCAAAGTGGAAGTTGATGAGAGTGTTAGGGACAAACAGGGAATTTAGAAATATAAGGCCATATATCAAACGCGTTCCTGCTCGGTACCCTCTGCAAACGTCATCTTCACGTGCTAAGCGCAGACGTGGCAGAATCTGACGTCACATATTTAGTCGGTTTTTAACGTCACCCAGTAACGCGGTTTCTCAGCATAAAGGTGTTAGGAGTACTGCTTCTCTCACTTTGATGGGATCAGTTTTTCCATGACAGGCTGCTCCCAGAGCCATCTTGAGTTGGTAGACATAGATAGAAAGGTACTATGAGAGGTAATAATATTGGGCTCAAACTCTAAACCACCCAATCTACAGCCTATTATACAGCCTAATTATACGCCTAATTATACAGTAAAACCTTATCTCCATTTAAAGCTGTTTTTACCTTTTTGAGCTGATGCAGAAGCTTCCAACCTAGTCCCCCATGCCAAGCTGACGCACTTCGTAAAGGACACTCACTATCAGTGAAATGGGAATCCATTGACTTCATACCCTCGCGGCCACTGTTCATTAAATTGTGCACCGCTGTTGCCACAGCGAGTGCAGCGTCATGCACTGATGCGTACATGGCCTGTCAGAGTTGATCGAACAGATTAATTTGGTTCGCTTTATCCTTGACTAGAAAGCTGTGCACACTCAAAGCATATTTTGATTTTGAAAATGCGTTTATTTAGGGTGGGTCAGTGTGAAACGTGTTCTAGATGAAAGGTAGCCTTTTGATTGGTTTAGCGAAAGCGATTTATTTTATTATTATTATTATTATTATTATTGTTGTTGTTATTATTATTATTATTATTNATTCCTTGTCATTTATTCCAACAAACAGCGCCTAGAACATCAAAAGGAGATGAAATGAATACTAGCATTGATCACTACTTAGTTGAAGAGATCAGGTCTTCTTTCCTGGCCCCATTAAAAGGCCGTTTAATTTAATCTTTTTAGTTTATTTATTTTACTTTCTCGACTTTTTGCCAATAATGTATTAAAAGATTATGTCGCTGAAAACATTCGTTTTTACAAACATTTTTTAGGTTTTAGCAAATATTCTCTATTAATATAATGCATTATCAGACTACAGCATTAGACCGTCTAGGAATTATGGCTGGTAGCGCTTTTAATCTGGAGGCTTATCCTGTATTCCTTTCAACTCTACTAAACATGTTTGATTAAAAAGTAAGCAATAAACTGGGGCAAAGTTGCGACAATTATCGTCGGTATGTTTCCTTAATTCAAATATCAATACGCTTAGACATAATTGCTGCATTTAAAGGTCTTGAAGCATGGCCCTTGAGCGTCATTGGGCCCAGTTACTTGAATCACAGACAACAATTGCGCAGTTACCTCATTCATAATGCCAGGCAGGTCTCTATGATCGCAAAACAAGACGAGTTCTTTGATATGCGACTTGCGTAGTGCAGTTAGAGCGTTTCTTGTCTGCCTTTTGTCGGTCACAATAAGTTCCGGTATCATTTCAATATTAAAGCGTGACCAGCGTTGCGCTTTGGCGTAAAAGTAAGATGCTTCTCTGGTTTTCCGGGCTGAAATATAAACTAAATAAATTAGGCATGAATAAATCAATCAAATAGTAACGTCTTGTACTTTTAGAGACGGACTCAAATGTGGCATAGCAGATGTGGTGAAAAGAGTTTGCGAGTTTGAGTAAAGTATCTGTGCTATATATACGCTTTTGTTTCCTAGGACAAGACATATTCTCATTTTTATAGGAACTCTTTCCAACGACCTGCGCAAATGGGTATTGGAAAATTGTTGCTATGGCCAGGCGAAACTCTGATAAGCAACGTACCATAGTAGATTAGCATCATTTACCATCACTCTAACGCCCTTAATTAGTACGATGGATACCGAGGTATGATAACCTTGACATGGATCTTGGAGTTTATCAGTGCCATTGACACCTGAGTCTCTTCTCCGAATTTATTGTTATATTGCTCCTAATTTTGTAGATCGTGAACAAACGTTTGAGCTACTGAACGGACTTTTGCAATAGTAGAACGTGCAAACACTTTGAGTGGGAATGGACGCATTGTATAACTTTGGCATTGCTCCCATCATTCAACGATGTAAACGGGCTTTAAATCTTATTATCAAGCTAAATCAAAGTACCATCATACACCACCGCTACTCTGGAGAACTCAAAGAAATCCATGACATCAAACAAGGCCTGACTTGCGACGTGATAAGACGGTCTCATAGACATAGAAAACTTGTGCACAGAGCTATCTTCTAAGGCGTCCACTTTTATTATCGGGACATAAAGTAGGGAACTTAGAGCTAAAGCCTCCTTGTTCTTACATTCCAAGTCAATGATGGTTACAACTTGGGACAGTGTAGATATCACATCTACATATGAAAGAAAACAAAGAAATCATATAGCCATGAGAAACTGAAAACGGAATGAGCTATTGATTAAACATTTTCAAAAATAGTGAAAATCACAGACAATGCAACAAGTGGTGAAAATGAGCGAAATCTTGACATGTTCATCGCATACCCTTGGAAAGAAGATCTTTGCCATCAACCTTGACGTGAATCAAACTGAACCTGAGTGTTTCTAACTGTAGCTTCCTTGGAAGTACGTAATCAAAGACATATTCTAAGGCGTGAAGAAGGCTCTCTGTTTCCTTGCGGTGCAGCGTTCCTGAGCATGCAGATCAACGCAAACATCAATTACAGTAAACATCATTAATTAAAAGAGAGTCATTACAGACATCAAAACTTTAAATAGTTCATTCTCTCTCTCTTTTATTTCAGTTCCATTGTGTAAAGCCTTGCAAAGAAGCCTCCCATTCTGGGACGATCCCGTTTTTCAGATTTTATTGTCTTGCACTATTTACATATTGTTAACAAGAAATCTATAAATGCTACATAACATTAATAACAATAACACAAAAATTATTATAAATGGAAAGCAAAATGTCCACAGTTACCGAAGTAGCTAAGGCTTTCAGGTTGGTCACTGCCAAGTTAAGTTAACCGGGGTAGACAATAAGCTTATATAACATGAGAAGAAAAAAAACAGTGCAAACCGTATTATATACATTAGTTATTAGATGTATGATTATATAAAAAAACAATAGGACGTGTAAAAGGTAATTAATAGGCTAATCAAACAAATTATTCTTAAGAAACAGCTTGAAAACCTAGGAGGTATCAGCTTGAGGTAAATTATATTCTAACGGGCAACACAGGTTTTCCCCAACCGATGCAGCCCTTCGGGAATCGTATTCCTAACGGTTAAGGCAACATAGAATTGAATGGAAATGAACGCGCATGTGAATTCATTTTCATTTGAATAGTTTTGCCCGAAGACTCGTTTTGACACAAAGGCAAACGCAACCCGGAAAGGGCCTATCTCGTGAACATTGTCGATTTTTATGTGATTCATAACCGTGAAAAAAAAACATTGTATTTTTTTTGTAAATAATCATTAAATGGCAAACTGCCTCTTGTAACGATTCAGTCATCGTTCTTGCAAGGGCCCAACATATCTCTTTGCACAGTCCAGTAAAAATACCCCTTTCTTCGCCGAAATAATCACTACCATTGTTGTTGCTTTCTGAGGTCCGCTTAAAGAGCGTACCAAAAAATTGATCGATTTTATCCATACAATAATACACGTACGATGTCTGAGGCGAGATCTTTCCTCGATGTATGAGATTAACGCTCCATGTACGTTCCTTCAAACTTGAGTTACATTTCCAAAAATATGTAGTTGAATCATCAACAGCATATCATATTTAGCATAAATGGTTCATTTATAAGAAATGAGTCTATAAGTAAGTCGAGATCTTACAAAACAAAAAAAAGCATCACAAGATGTTTCCTTTTTTCAAGAGAAATTTTGAGCATGTAACTTACTGCCGAATATTTGTTTTAAAATTACTCACCTATCTTGATATCGCGAATCTTCTTTTTTGTAGTGAGAGCCGAACATGCCATGAAGAATACAAAGTAAAGAAAAACCTGTATCCTCGACATTTTACCCATACCCCGGGTAGTTTAAGTTAGAACGTAATACGAAAGAAAAATATTTGATTCACTTTCTGTTATTCCGTTTCTTCTGGGGTACGCGTTTAAAAAATTTTTCACTAAAACAGACATTTTAGCCTTTCAGTGGCATCGCTGAACGACTGCAGAAAATGCAAGGTTTGTTTCCAGTTGGTTCAATCAAATTTTCATTACTGCATCAATAATTGACTTTTATTTGGACGTTTTCACGGCGGAAATGAATTATTGACTCGCAGAGGGCGAGTGGGACTCTGTTATAAATGCCACTACTAAAAGCAAAGTGAAGTCCAATTATAATTATAAACTTTTGAAAATGCTGCTCAATAACTGGACTTCCACATTCGAACTTCACTTTAAGGTTACGTACAAAGCTAAAAAGCAAAAATCACAAGATGTCTTCTATCTAAATGTCAGTTTGTTTTTCTTACTAAGAAAAGTTCAAGAAAACTACTTACAAGTATCTTTGCCAACAAAGCTTTACAAGAGTGGTTAAGAGTGTATCAGTAACCGCATCTTCACTCCTTGTGAAAAACAACGAGAAGTATTGTTTTGCTGGTTTTCAAAGGACACGTACAAACAACTTATTCCACGCTACCTATCAGATATCTATGTTGTGAATTAATTTCCCTTCAACGATTTTTCCGCATTGTTTCAAGCTGTATGATACACCATACACCGCTTTATATCGTGATTCGGCTAGACATATTCAGTCCGGGATCGTTATCAGATTTGATAACCATGTGACGTCACAACATGGCGGCCATTTCAAAAACCGGGAATATTCGTATTCACTTCGCTTTGCTCGTTATTTGTTCGATTATACTCGGGTAATTTACCCATAAATCTATTCGATAATTACCAGAAAAGATGGAGCCTCACGTGTTTTGAAGATGGCGGTTGAAGACCAGCGTAAACGATTTAAAATGCTACTCGTAAAGTGAAACAGCGCTTGCAATTTTGCATCCAAACCAGGTATGTTTTTCATTTTGTCATTAGATTTAAGTTACCTGGAGATTTT